AAACTAACACCCCACTAACCAAACACACAACCCAACCAAACCCCCTTTTATACTCCCAAAGACTAGCGCAAACTCCTTGGTCGAGTTCGGGTCCGGGCCGTAGTATGCGACCACTGGTTTAGAACAGCAACAGGAACTGAATCCGACTTTATTGACCAACACTCTTCTATGCAACACAACTCTCATGGCAATGCTTCCTCAAACTCAACGACCCTAGGCTTGTGATGTACATAGCAAAGGATTGTTACTAGGAATCGCACCGAAGTACAGGTGCCTAGGCGAGGAGGTGTAGCTTTGGACTGAAAATCCCGTTTAAGGGCTATGCTGCTTCGTCTAGACGACCTCTATTGCACTGCTAGCCTCTCGAGAACTAGCGGCAGACTCAGACTCCTTTGAATCCAAGATCTTTTCCGTACACTTGGGCTTATTAAGGACCTCAAAGTACTATCCAACACGACTAGACGACCGGTGGTTGTCCCAGGGTTCTCCCAAAGTGCTGTGCCGGGCGTGGTCGGTTTTAGCGAGGCGTTTCCTGGTCACCCAATGCGGATGCCCTGCTAGAGTCCACTCGCGACGACAGTCGCAGTTCTCAAGCCTTCTTTGTGCGTACGGTCCTGATTTATACGTGGAGGCAGTTGCCGCCTCACAACCTCCCAACGCGATGCTTTGCTTTTAGGTTCACACAATGTTCCAACAAACAATGCTTCGATTGTATAGACTTCCTTACACACAGATAGAGAATGTACTTTATCCCTGCTTAGTGGCCTGAGCACACCCTTACCGCCGTAGCAGTGAGCGGGGCATGAGCTGGCTTTTAGCAGTAACTACTGGGTCCTTATATACTGTTCTAGAGTCCATAATGTAATACCTATCTAATAAGCATGCCGGGGTGATTCCTCATCCAAATGTCAAATGATATGACTGATTTGTGCCATTTATCCTCGCCGTCGGCCTAATTCCGGGTCATAGGCCTTGGCTATAAATATCCCGGAGCCTAAAGCCCATAACTCCGAAATACTCCGGAGCCATTGCCCCTTAGCTCCGAACTGACTCATGCTTGCTCATATGTTGAAGTGTTCAGTTCGACTTCCTCAACATACTATCATTGCCAACCCAGGAAGTTGATCAGAGTTCGTCTAGACAGCATTTCTGTGGTCTAGACAAGCCAAGCTTTGTAGCCCAACTATACTAGTCCGTCTAGACGACTTCAATGATCATTCCCTGGGCCATATATCCCTCTGTGACCTTACTAGCACAATTACTTGAGTGCTAGTATCATTGAACCTGCTTCTACTTCGAATTCAAGTACTCGGACTCGCTCTGAATGATACCTGAGGCCCAAGGCACTCAAAGGTAATAGCTTCGATGTCAATTGTGGTTGCTAGCTCGATAACGAGCCGTCTAGACGCATAGTTCTGCCGTCTAGACGCTTAGTCGAGCCGTCTAGACGCTTAGTCGAGCTGTCTAGACGCTTAGTCCTGCTGTCTAGACACATAGTTCTGCTGTCTAGACGAGCTGGTTAGCCCTCCGTTAAGTCCCATTCGACGTGGTCTGTGCAGTCATTGGTTCTCCTGGTCGGATTATGATCCCCATTGAATGTCTAGGCTTTTGTACATCTCCTTGATAGTGTACCTGTCCAGTGTAACACTTGTAACCATGTCTAGCACTGTGCAGAATACTACAGCCAGCAGGCGGAGCTCACTCTGGCTCTCCTTCATATCACCGAACAGGGTACTAGTGCACTAATCAATAATGCGACTAGAAGCTAGTCTATGGCCCGAGTCCCCTAGCACCAACTAGTGCTCATTAAGCTTAAAATAGCCCGACTGCGACACAATTGGTGTTGCGCCGTCTCACCGTCTCCCTCTGGTTCTCTCCGGGACTCCGGTCACCTCCGGTCTCCGGTCGCGTCTCCGGAACCTTCGGTCACGTCCCCGGAGTTCTCGCTCGGCCATACCAACAACTGCGGTACGACTCCGGGTTGTCTCCTGCTTCTTGGATATGCCTCTGGTCTGCTCCGGCTTGCTCCTTCTTACTGATCGCTCCGGTCCGTACCGGACCTACGCCGGACGACTAACCAACTATACCGGCGACTGCCCTTGCATCTCCGGTCCAGGCTATCTGTGTCTCGTCACCATCTTTGAGCTAGTACTGCTCGGACCTTGGTATCGGACACATTCCCATCTCGCAGCCTGAGGCCAGTCAATCGGTCACCCTTGCTGAGTTGTGGTGTTCCGAGAAGGGCTGATCTAGACATCTGCTCATCTCCGAGTATCGGCATGGTCCGGCTCTGGTCATATGATCGGATATTCCTCATACTCCTTCCCTCTTGGCCCAGCGACATAACATCGTTCTCATGTAGTCCAAAAAACATGAGGGGCAAGCACCCCAACCGAGAGGAGGGGCGTCGCCATTAGGAGATACATGGCCGTTAACAATCGGCCGAGTTGATTGTTGAGCTGGATGGTAGAACCCGGGGCTGCAATTCCGGGTGCAAGACAAGCCACACGACGAACGAAATGCTTGTCCAAATGACGTCCCAGTCTATGGACGATTGTGCAGGATGAGAGTGGAGGACATCCCATGCCTTGAGAGCAAGATCCCTGACAGAGACTGGTGGATTGCCGGCGGCTTGGCCAGTTGCGCGCACGTGAAACACGAGTGCGGCACCAAAGACGACAACATAGAGGGTCTTTAGACTGATGCCGAAACATGACTTGGTTTCAGCGGAAGCTTGCACCAGAGGGAATAGACGATCCGGAACCAGGAGTGGAAGTATGATGAATGTGTGCATGAGGAGGAGGTTTGGAAGGAAAGAGCACTCGGTGGTGAAGGGGCTTGTCGCGACGGTGCCGAGGGAGAGCAGGACGGGGAGCCAGAGCGCAACAGGAGCCACGAGAGAGGACATTCCATGGCTGGAGGATGTAGAGAGCGGACGGGGCACGAGCACAAGGGCGAGATAGAATAGATTTGACGCGACGGAGATCGCGACGAACTGCCCGAGGAGCATATACACCCAGATGAAATTGATGTGGTGGCGCCTGCCTGCGGAAATATAGTTCCACGAAAAGTGGACCAAGCCGCAAAATTACTGACCTTTGATGGAGAGGAATATTGTCCATGCACCGACAGTGAATAGGCATAGCTGTTGACCCCACCACCAATTTGCTTTGCCGAAGCAGATGTGGGCCCAAGCCTGCTCGAAAAGCGAGGTATTCAGAAGCCATTGACTCATTCTTTCAACGGTAAGCCTAGTGGAAATAGTAGCCCTGGTGCACTGTTCGTAGTCCGTGAAACTCCACTGCAGAAAGGATTGGATATATTAACCACTACGAATAGAAAAATGACTTGCAGCCATGAATTTGAACATGTCTAATAGAGTAAATCGGGTAAGAGACATCCGCCAAAGGTAATTGGAGACTTACAAAACCATGTGTGTGCAAAAGACGTGACTGCGAGCGCGATGAAGACATACACCCTGCCTCTTTAACAAGAAGAGGCCCGCAATGATAGAAAAGTAGGAGCAAAAGACACCGACCGCTACGACCTCCGAGATCTGCATCGGACGCGCTGCCAGCTGGCTGTCAGTAGGCGGGGTGGGAAGGGCAACTTAAAAGCCGATCAAAGCCGACTGGCAGAGAGATGAATGATCCCATCACTTCTCCCTTGTCTCTCTTCCATGTCGTTCAACCTCGAAATCACAAATGAAGTTCCTGTGGGCATCATTGAACCTGTCAGAGGCAACCTGAATGGACATTTCATACCACCGCACTTACCCTCGTCCACCAGCTGGACGAAGAAAACCACTTACTCGAGTTGCGGCCAAACCAGAATTTCTCAACTTATACCACAAAAGAAATACTCGGACGAATTGTATTTTACATGGACCCAAACAAATCGGAAAACTATACACGCGACGGTATCACTCCCAGGCACTTGTTTGAAGGTAAATATACGGCCGGTTGTCTCCGTTCGCAAACTTACGGCTGACGGGATTTAAAACGACCCTTCCAAATGACATGAAATTCCCGGTCGATCCAGCGGGACCGCCGGTCTAGAAAAGTGTCAGTCATTGTTGTTATATTTCACTCACAGAAAAGGCTACCTCAATGTACGAGGTGTTAGGACCCGATGAAGTTATTCAAACAGAATTCTTCGTCGTCTGTGCGAAGCCACGCTGTGAGCTGTCACTTTGTGATGTGCTCCGAACGCGGCCAAACGGGAGGAAAATCATACTCACGACGGCGACTCCGTATCCAAGAATATGACAAGCAATCGCGCCTCCGAATAAAAAGGCCAGACCCCGAATCGAACGGAGACCTTGTGAGGAAACGTTACAGGCTCTCTTAATCGTCTTGCATGCATTGCCATTCCGCCACCTGGCCGTGATTAGGGAATGACACGGGTACGGGTAAACCCGCGGTAATACGGGTACGGGTGTCACGGGTGCGGGTGCGGTGTTGGATTTTTCCAATACCGCGAATACCGCAACCCGTACCCGAACCCCAAAAAGTTCCGCAAGAGGGAATTGAACTCACAATCTCACCAGTTTGAGTAGAAATATGAACAAGAGACATAACCAAGTAGACCATAGAACCATTGACAGAGCCTGAAAGACTGTGCACATCCTATGGTAGGATGTTTGATGAAATCACACTTCCTTGATTGCACTTAATTGCGTTGAATATGGGCTGTATCAAGCTCCAAAAGGTTCTAGTGCTCTTTAGTCTAGCTGTATATACTCTAAATCCATTTTCTGAGACAAACCCAACTCTCTTGGGTTCAATTCTGTCCGCTCCAGTTATTTTTAAATACCCGCGGTTATAAATTGCGGTATTGTGCGGGTACGGGTCGGGTGAACGGTTTTGCGGGTACGGGTACGGTGTGACCTCGTGACACCCGCGGTGTCACCCGTGTCACACCCTAGCCGTGATTAGGACAAAGAGCTTCGACAAACGGACGAAAGAACGAGACAGGCCTTGATCGCTGATTAAAAAGGATGGCCAGACTCTGAATTGAACAGAGACCTTGCAAGGAAACGTTATAGGTGTCTGTATTCATCTCGCATGCATTACCATTCCGCCATCTGGCCGTGATTAGGACTCGACAAACGGACAAAAAGACGAGACGAACCTGATTTGAATTATATGAACAACAGACTCCGAATCAAACGGAAATCCACAAGCAAGCATCGAGGAGGAAAATATTGATTCTCGCACGCGCTACCTGGCCGTTCAATGAGCGTTCACTCAAAAACTCGACACGCATTCACTCAAAAACGAAACGGAGGAAAAAGTTTCTTGATGGTGTATCATGGCCAGACTTTGAATCGAACGAAGACCTCGCGAGCATACATTGGTCAACGTACACGAAGGGCGTGCGCGCTACCGTTGCACTATCTGGCCAGTGCTAGGGAGAAGGGAATGGGGGAGCAAATGGAGACGGAGTGGTTGCGGTATGGGAAACGGAGCGACTAAACGGAGAACTCAGGTGGTTCACTTGGGAAATGGGGCGACTGAAACGGGAAACGGAGGCGACACGAGGCCGCTCCGAGTCAATTTCTAACCCCTCCAGAATTGGGAATGCGTGGGGGATCACAGAGGCGAGTCAGAACTGAGACGGAGTATGGTATAAAAGCCAGCTGTATGATACAGAATGATCATCTTATTACCTCCCACTGCATATACCTAAAGCTACTCCCCCTGAAGTACACTGGGGTGGGGAACTAAATTAAATACACTCCGCTACAGTCGTGCCGCCCAATAGTAGGACAAACCAAGGTCACCCAAAAGGCCAGGGCTTGTCAAGAAACCCTGTCCGTCTCGCCTCCGTTTCGATAAATCGATACGGGGGAAATATAGTCAATCCGGAGTTGAAAGCGCGCGGTAGTAGATTACGCGGCACACCACCAAATGGCCAGTCGCCTAACTTGGCTTCGTGCAACCGTTCCTCTTCGGAGTTCGTACGCATACCCTTGCGAGTAGTGTATGACACGGGTTTGGGAAAACCCGCGGTGTTACGGGTACGGGTGTCACGGGTGCGGGTGCGGTAGTTGGTTTTTAGAACACCGTGAATACCGCAACCCGCGGCATTACCGTACCCGCAATACTGCGGTACCTTACCCGCAGCCCTTCAAAAAGGTCTCCCGACAGATTTGAACCCAAGATCTCATGGATTCAAGTCAAATTCATAATTAGTCAACTTACAGCTGAGCTAAGGGACTGTGCTCCATCATTATTATAACTTGTGGAAGGATACTGGTTGGAATGAACCACAAGATTCCTTTTTTGGATGACAGGTAAATACTGCCAAACAGCACTTGATCTGACTTGTTCTTCACCACTACAGCACTGATAAATCTGGGTAAATTTTAAGAGGTGCAGGCCTGGTAGTAGGACATGGTGAACACCAATTGTAAGCCCTCATGCAGCTATAGTGCATTATATTCAGGGAAAACCATGTTTTACCAGTAAAAATGACCCAAAATAAAATCTGTGAGGTCATTTCTCTGGTGCCAATAATTGGTTCAGGGTCTCTGACTCTCATATTACTAAGGCTGTGACTACTGGCACCCAAAACAACTGTTTCTTCACCCGGAAATCATTTTCCGGTCACATGATTAAAAAACACAATGTTTCTGCGGTGTTTTTCCAGCTTAAAACACAGTACTTCACCTTGTAGTGCATGCCTAGCTAGTTTTCCATGATCAATATTACTTATTGCATGTTCCTTTGGTGTGAAGTCAATGGAACAAGTGAAATACCACGGTTAAATACCCCGGTGATTGAACCGCGGGTGTTTATGTAAATACCGCGGGTTCATACCCGTAATACCGTACCCGTGGGAAAACGGGTACGGTATCACGGGTCACGGGTACGGTGTGATGCCGTGACACCCGCGGTATCACCCGTGTCATTCCCTACTTGCGAGGAACCCACCCCATCGTACACGGAAGGCCTATCCACACGATCATACCATTTCCCCCATTCAATTCGCACACTTCACCCCCGAGTCTTCGAAGCGGAAGTGATTCCGTTTCAAGGCGTTCACCAACGGAGAAACCAGGCTACGAAGGGAATCACTATAGCTGTCCGTATAGTGTTGCACTGTACTGAAGAGACCTGCCGTCCGATACGTTCGAGACGGGTGGATAAAGCATAACAGATAACCTGAGTACTCCGGAACGGAACAGCATTCACATTGCGGAGCGAACCCTTCGAGCAAGTGTAGAAAACTATCCATCCGTGGTACCTTCGGAAGGCCGGCCCCCAACGAAGAACCAAATCTTTGAGGAACCTGGCAAAGCGGTCAATCCAAACAGAGAGAACTGTACACACACACACACACCACAAATTATATATCACGCATTTAGCGTACCTTAAACTACGCAGCTCCGCGACAGAGCAATTTCCCCCTAGAGGACGAATTAAATTCTGTAAACACTACTTGACTATACCCACCCCGGGTCAGGCAGTTCACAGAACCGCAGTCCGCACCACAACACAATGTGTGTCGTTCGTATTGCGGACAAAGGACCAGTGTGACTCCTGCTCTGTTGTGTTCATAACAAATGAACCTCAGCATAATACATGCTAACCTGTTCCATTGGGCAAACACTTCATTTAAACGCGTCTCATTTTATATTCTTGAATCTGTTGTTTCGTTTGAGTCCACTGACCAGCTAGCGCCAAATAGAGGTTGGTCGGTAGCATTTTATCCAACGCTCGGAAAATTGAGGAGAGTGGCAATTCCTAGATTGGCCCAAATTGCTTCATCGCCGATTCCACTGTACATCAGTATTGTCGGTGCTCTAACGGTTCCAGCGGACAGCACAATCTCTTTCGTAGTGTTTGCTGTGAACAAGGCCCCTCCTATTTTTTTTGTAAGCAACTGTGTTGACGTACAAATGGGATTCTTTACCCTGCATGAACTGCACACCTTCAAAATGAACTTTCCCGTCGAGATGGGCCGGATTGACGAGCTTTGAAACTTGCTCAGGCAGCAGAACATGAAGATTCGGGCATCAATGAATTCTGGCCCTAGATAGGATGTTGCGGAACTGCTTCGCGCTCCACTTTTGATGGTAGATTGCAACGAACCTATCCCACTCCAGAACCTTGTTTCAGCGTGTCCCATATTTTGGAAAATAAAGACCACTCACAGTGGCTTGCTGGAGTTCATGTTCAAACTGAACGGCCAATCCTCAGGCAGCTGAGCTGCAGTCGCAAGGACATGATTCTAAAATGTTGTCCAGGAAAATCTGTTCAGGCTAACCACATTGATTCCTGTCGTACTGTGTACAGACAGTACAGTTGGGTCGAATTGGCTGAGCGTTTCGTGATGGTCCACGGGTGAAGTCCATTTTCATTCTGGGGGCATAAATTGTGTGTGGGTCGATAGACATTGTATGTACCTTGAAGAAATATGACAACAAACAATCCCAAGTCCACCCCGAATCCCCGGTCACAGCAGTAAAGTGATTGTGGTCATCTACCGACCCGCGGGTGTGGACCATCCCGTTATATAAGGACCACCACATCCTCTAAGGATATGCACTTTAAATATATTCGGTCTTCCCCCCAGTCACAACGCAATGGTTGAATTATTTGAACGTCGATAGAACAACTGTTTAACCCCAGCTGCGGAATTGAAGTGTAGTCTACAAGAGTTAGCATTTGATCAAGAACGACAACTTCCCGGCGACATTGACTCGGGTTGCAGCCGAATAGCCCCGAGCGCGACATGTCAACGAAGGTAACGTGACCGTATGACTGCCTACCAAGTTTGTTTGAAGTTTTTCACAAACCGAGCAGCGGATCCTTCATACATCTTTTCTGAGGTCATAAACAGGTTGAGTCTCGGGGCTTCGCTGGATTTTTTATGGGCTTCGAAATAAGAACTCATCAACACTTTTCTTGCGCTTTTCAGTTCTAACATGTACATGCAGCTCAAATCCAGCATGGGTTTACACCTATGAAATAGGACGAGCTTGTCTTAAGACCTAGCCGGTCTAGACCAACTCAGGTCTTGAGAGGGGTAGGTCTTAAGGTCCCCGATGACTTAAGTTTCTCCCCCTTCCGCACGCCCCGCATGTGTGTGGGTGCAACAGCTTTAACATCTTAAGTCCTTACCTTTAGAACTTAAGTTGGCCCACCACTTAAGTCTTGCTGAACTCCTTAAGTTCAACTCACAACTTAAGTTTCACCGAACGACTCAAGTCCATCCTTCCACTTAAGTTCTCCCAAACCACTTGAGTTCTCCAAAATAACTTGAGTTTGATCAATGTAATTGAATTTGGATATACGGCGCGACACCGCACTAATAGCGGGAAACACAGGTACTCCAGTAGCGCGGGGGGTCACGATGGCGATGGCGATGAGCATGATGGGCGGGTTGGTTAGCAGCCAATTTTCTCGATGACGCCCCATGGTACATATTCTATCAGACGTTATGCACGCCCATACGTCAGCGACAGAGTACAGAGGGAGAAACGGACGACAAACAGAGTGGTATTGCCTCTGGGCTCGGGAGTCTCCCGGCGGTTATAGACTGTGATGCGACGGTCAGACGTGTCACTGAACGATGCTCTAAGTACTGTGACACACATGTAGAAAGATACACACCTATCACCCCAAACGGCACCAGCTGTTGCCACCGGCTGGGGTCTGCGGGGTGTTGGTGCACAGAGCAATACACGGTGCTGAGGGGAGGGTTAAGTCGGTGGAAGAGGTTCAGAACAAGGCAGTGCGCACCTTTCCCGCTTAACACCTCCGCGTCCTTTTAATTCCCTTTGTCGTCGGTCCGACCTCTTGACCTCTTAAGTGGTGCAAATATCTTAAGTGTTCTCAAGCGGACTTAAGACTTTATCATCAGCGGTGTCCCATAACAGTACTATAGTTGGGGTAAGTACAAGGGCTTACATCAGCCTTTTGACATTTTAGTTGCCGGTTGTCAGGTTGTCCCAACTTGAAAAGTGGTCAAGACACTTCACGAATGACAGGAAAACTGTACCAGATGCTTCCTAAGCACTACAGTAACCTATGTTCCCTACAAACATTTTTGAAAAAACGCAAAATTATGGCTTGACACGGG